GAATTCCCCAGCCAGCATAGCTGGCTGGGGAATTCTGAGAGTTGAAGTCCACACATCTTAAAGTTGGTAAGGTTGAGAAACACTGCCTTGGACTATATGGTTTAGCACCCTGTTTCTTCCTCCTTTGTTTGATGAACTTAGAGTATTATCTTACTCCTTTCTGGCCTAGCTTCTTAGTGACCATTGGTGACTTTTCTGTGGAATCTGCAGTTAACACTGATTCTAATTTGAATTCCACAGGACATAATGGCTTCAAATTCTGAGAGGAAATGGTGGCTGTACTGGATCCAGGTGACCACATAACCACAGGAAAGCCACAAGTGAAATGCTTCTGCCATGAAAATCAAATTCTTCCTCGACAGCTGTTAGCCAGCAAAAACCATGGTGCATTGGTTCTGGTGCTTAGCACATATTCCATTTAGCTCCCAAATGAGTGACTTCACCACTCAGGTGAACAAAACACAGATTACTCTTATGAGCCTAACATGGGAAGGTGGGGAAGGAGAGGGTGAAATTTGTCTCTAGCTTAACCTCCTTATATAAAGAGTAGGGGTGTCCACAAGGAGACAGTCAAAAATCACAGCCACAACACACATAAAAAGGGCAGGGCTTCCATTGCATGCTTGTGACTGCCATCTTGACTTTTTTTGCAGACACCTTTGTTGAAGAACAAGACAAAAATGTTATAAAAGACGAAGAGGGAAGTGAATTGTGCCAATTCCCAATAGGAATAAAGCTGAGAAGAGTTACGTTTCTTACCACCCCACTCCGGAGTATGGTTTGTAAAGTGAATGAGTGTCCGTGAGTTGCTGCAAGGTGTGCCGGGGTACACCCTAGGTCATCTGGAGTTCCTAGATTTACACAGTTGAGATGGAGGGCCTGTGAAAATATATAAACATATCTCTTAAACATAAGGACTCGTGGCCCCATCTAGCAGTCCTTGGCTGATCTCAGAAAGCTAGACAGGGTAAGACCTGGTTAGTACTTGGAGAGACACCGGGAAACCCTGAAGTTGTAAGCTAGACTGGGAAATTGGAAAAGGATCACAGAAGGAGGCAGTGGCAAGCTACTCCTGTAACGTAGCCAAAAGAAGAATAGGGTTGGTCTCTGAAATGACCAGGTGTCAAGATCTACTTCAAGGAGATTTCACCTTTACCATTTGATGGCATGGAAGGTCTCATGAGCATATGGAACTTCTCCATTACTTCCATCTTACGGGCGAAGCTGAAAGACTATACAAATAAGAACTTATTACATACATTTCAGTGCGTATGGAGCTCTGGATTAAGGTCTTTGTAAGTATGAGAGCTCTGGATTAAGGTCTTTGTAAGCCCTGCTGAATAGCATTAAAGTTATTTAAGTATTATTTATTTAATTATTAAATTTAATAAAATTTAAATTTAATAAATAAATAAAATAATAAAATAATCCTGAACTTCAGCCATCAATACAATCTGGAGTAGCTCGTTCCATAAATTAATCACATTGCATTAAAAAAAAAAAGGAATTCTTTCAGTCCCCCCAATACATTTCACTGAATACAACCGCTATATTTTGGCAGAGAAAACATTTATCTCCCTTTTTCCAGCACCAAAATCCAGATTTTTGGAATTCTGAAACATAAAAAAGGGTGGGGATGAAATGTATTGATCTGAATATTTAAAAATAAAATCCACCTATAATGAAAGACTATTGTGTTGCCCTGCAGGAATGCTATTAAAAGATAAACTGGCATTGTGCTTATTAGAAAGACAGCCAAAAATCTAAGAAAACTGAGAGGCAATTGACAGGCAGAGTAAAACGGGAGGAGAGGGAGGGGGGTGGACAACAGAAAAGGAGATAGCAAATATATCTAAAACAAAGGAAGGAGAAGGACTGTCACTCAGGTAACACGCTAAGCAGTCGTTCTGTAATTAAGCACAGAGCGTTTTGCTGAATTCCCTCAAAACAAAGAAATAAGAAGTCAAGTCAAGCAGCACTCAAGGTAATTACACAGGACAATCTATTTAGGGGGTTTTTTGGTACTTGATTTGCCCCTGTTCTCTTCCAGGATGATTTTTCAGTTTCTACATCTAGCCTACTACCCTGGCATTTCCTAGTGGTCTCCCATCCAAGTACTAATTATATTTGACTACACTTAGCTTTTCAAGATCAGCCACCATCACTTAGGTGCTACCACCCACTATAGGCTCTTTAAAAAGAAACAACCTATCCTGTGTCATCTCTTTATACAATGTTATTTTTAAATAAGGCTTTAATTGCTTGCGAGGAACTGAGGAAACAGGATAAAATCTACAATAATGGCCTCCACACAAACTAGTCTAGGATATTATGTGATCAGGAAAAAGCAGATAAAAGCGATAGCAATGTCAGTTTAAGTTTATCCATTTTCAGATGGTGAGCAACACCCCTTCCCACCCACCCCCATCTTACAATTGGGGTAATCTTGCAAAATAAATAAATGAATTCATTTTGGGAATGAGAGTAGGATTTTTGTTTTATTTTTACAAGTGGTAGTGAAGATTGCAAATAATAACTGCAAACAAAGCTACTGAATTTCATTTAACTTATTAATCACAAAAACAAGTGTGTAAAAACTAACTAAATAAAAGAGTGAAATCTTGAAAAAAAACCAACCCTAACAATAGAGAAATTGTTGAAACTTGAGTCTCCAACAATATAAAGCTATCTCAAAGGCTAAGAACTGACAAATTTCACTGAAACAAAATTTAAAACTTGGTGAGATTTGTCTTTCCAAGAATACAATATCACCTGGCAAGATATATCCAAATTCTTCATATACAGACAAGCTGCAAATTTGGGGGATATAATTTAACATCATATTTATATCTTTGACCCTTCACTTCCTTCCAAGAACCTGGTCTCCTACAATATGAATCTCTAATCCAGTGTTTCTCAACCTTGGTGGCTTTAAGATGTGTGGACTTCAACTCCCAGAATCCCCCAGCCAGCATGCTGGCTGGGGAATT